AATAATTAGAAAATTAGTATAATAAAGATCCAAATGAAATAATAGTATTTTTGGTAAAGGTAATAAATCATCTCTCAATCATCAAAACATCTTTTCGTTTTATTTTGTGATTGTGAGAACTACTAGGTTCTTTAGAGACTGATACACCAAATAATAAACTGTTTACAAGAAATTTTCAGATAAAAAAGTAGAGTAAAATTTCTTGCTATAACCTAATTAGCAGATTAGTGTAACAAAAATCGGATCAAAATACATACTTCAGTGTATTCCAGTAATATAAGATATAAGCTTTTAGCATAATGATTTATAACCGTTAAAATGGTCTCGGCGAGCCAGACTCCTAAATTTCAAGCAAAAATTATATATATCTCTATATATCTTTTGATCCGTATTGGGCTTTTTCCAAAACTGTTTTCGCGAAATCGTTTTCACAAAAAATTAACGAAATAGTTATTTAATTTATTTTTGGAAGAGATTCGAGAGATACAGATTGCTTCTTGTTTTGTCATATGTCGCTCTTTTTGCTATATACAAGTCAAATATTTTATTTCCATTATTATATTAATTATTTTCTTTTTTAGATATGACTAGAAATTCGGCTCTGGTGAGAATAAATGCTATAACGTATATGTGCAGCAACACTCCTCGAAACTGAAAATGAGGAGTTTTGATATCGACTGAAACGATTCCTAAACGAATTATAGAACTTTCTATAAGAACGGAAAACCATCATCACGCAATATTACTACTCTTTTTATGGAAAAACATAACCATTCAAAAAGTAATGCATTTTGTGTTTCTATTATTAATATTATTTAGATAATAATACAAATAAAATGGTTTATGTAAGTGAAAAAGTAGTCACAAACCAAATACAGATTTAAATCAGAAATTGCAGTCATAATTAGAATCAATATTTCTTAACCGTTATCATATGTTACTATTTACCATCATTATTATTATTACCATAAAAAAGTAATATCTTGTGTGAAAATGGTTTTACATATTATGTTTAGGTTTACAAATTATTATTTCATAATGAGATACTTTTTGCTGATTGATAAACTAAAGTTTTGATACTTTATCTCGTTTTCATATTATTAGATTTTGTCCCAAGAGTAAAATTGTATTGGATATTGGTTACCAGAAAAGCCATATGAGCCATCTGCATTGGCGTGGGTTTATAAGATATACGATATAGGGAATATAATAATCAAATTTTATCCGTCGGTCTAAAGAAATATGATAAAACCATTTCGGATTTTATTCCATCATATATATATATATATATATATATATATATATATATATATATATAAATCTTCTACACATGTGTAGTCACTAAACAGCTCCAAAACGGCTATTCAAATTGTTATAAATTATTATAGAGTTTATCGACAAAAAGCAACAATAGTAATATCAAATGCATAATTTTATTATAAAGTTCTTGAAAATTCTAAATCAGTGATATCCTTGTTATGAATGCATTTAACAGTAAACGACCTACCAGAAAATGCATTGGTGAAGGAAATCGGAATGTGCGTTACATTAATTAGCATACAATTTGTTGTCATTGCTTCAGAGTTAGAAAAAGTGAGGTATGAAACATTTTGTGGCTCTATATAAAAAATATAAGGTTTATTTGTAATAATTAGGTTTGTGTCCATAAACAGTATACTACTTTTATTTATGATTTAATTAGATAATACATGATGGTAAAGAAGATAATTTAAACGACACATGCATTTTGTGCACCTGATTTGTTTTCCAAGGAGCAACAGACCACAACATGAATCTAGCTTCAAAAAGATGAATTTTGAAATCATATTTCTACGTTTTTTATAAATTAATGTACAACATCTTAATTTTCAGTTATAAAATTAGTTTAATGTACCTATATTTATGTGAATAAACATTCCATGTATATTTAAAAATACTAAATGCAGTTTTCTGTTAGCAAATTAGTTGTGACAAAAACATTTTCAAGAAACCTTGTCCATGCCCTGTCTTATAGTATGTATAATAATTTTATATATATGCGGGTGATATAATATAAAGAAATATAAGTCTTCCTACAGAATTATGATGTCGACATCAATATTTAAATATGTAATATTTGCAACAGCATAGCGATATTAATATAGAGTCTTTATTACATTATTATTAAGTCGAAGAGCAATTGCGCAGTTCAAGCGTTATCAAAATCCGATTATAAAAATGTTGCTGAAGAAATTTGATAAAGTTTATTTGCAACAGTACCAAGACATTAAATGATTGCAACGGAGGCAAATATATAAATTTGCATTTTTTTCATTCGGATAATATGGTAATGGTATACAGTTAAAATTTGGTATCAAAGCTGATGGAAGCCACCCATGATAGCCCTTTACATCCAAAATGACTAACTAACTTGATTATCCATAAAATGGTCTTCAGCAATAAGAATAAAAAAACATTTAACGATTTAAATGTGTGTACTTCAAATATATATATATATATATATATATAATATATACATATATATTCGGTGGTAATGAAATAGCAAATATTTTAATTTTAGAACAAACGAGTAATACAATAACTTATGTTCTCGACTTCAACTTCTGTTTGTAGTTCCAACGGTGTTTATTCTAATAAATGATAATTTATTGCAAAAACAAGTCACCTAAAAACATAAACTGCAGCAGAAATAGCCTGTTTAACAAAAGGTTTAATGGCATAAAGTCACATGTTTCTGCAATAATATCAAAATAAAACAGTAGAAATAGTTAAGGTCAACTACTAAAATAGCTATGCAGTTTAGGTTAAATTTGATATATTATAAATATATTATATATTTTAATAACTAAGTAGTAAAATTTATATTTGGTTAACTTACTAACATGAAGACTATATTCAAAGAGTTGTAAAAAAATACAAGTGATAATAGCATTTGTGATTAGTAAAGTTCCTCAAGGTAAACCACTATCGGCTCGTAGAAAAATATATATATATATATATATATATATATATATATATATATATATATTGTAGAGCTTCGAACAAAAAATCCAAAAAGTAATAAAAAACAAGAAAGTTTTTTAAAAAAACATTTCTTCATTTATTTTATTTACTATCTTTTATTTCTTTTCTTTCGTTTCTTTTATTTACTATCGACGTTTCGGAACTAGGTACGTTCCATCTTCAAGAAACATAATCTTGATAAGTTTTAATCAAACAATATGTTTAAGAAAAGCAAAAGATGATGATTTTTTTATATAAAATGAAAAAAATTGTGGAAAAAATAATGTACAGAAATATGACAATATCAAAAATGAAAATGATAAAAATAAATCAGTGGACTATATAACAAAATATTAAAAATGTTAAAAAATTAGAAAGTTTTAAGAAAAGGTTGCTGGAAAACAAAGTTAACTACCTGTATGATTGATTATACACTAAAACCTTTTTAAAAAGATTGAATGAAAAAAGGGATTTTATAAATTTATTTTCAGACAAAGAAACAAATTTTGTAATTCAAAATGTCTTTAACTTCTTCAATCCAAGACTCTATAATATATATATATATATATATATATATATATATATATATATATATGTGTGTGTGTGTGTATGTGTGTGTGATTCGATTACTAAAACGACTATTATGAAAAATTGTGTGGCAGGAGGGTGAAAATTTAGTATTGTATCTATTTCTCAATTCAGCTTTATAGAAAATTAAAAGTTGGCCCTAAAATTAAAAACAAAAATGTTGGGAGTGGACGACCTTTGGTGAAAATAAATTATCTTTCAAGGAAAATTCAAGCTTTCCCATAAGCTCAAGAAAATCTGTATTAAAAATTAATTTAATTACAAAAATAAATATTAGAAAAGTATAAGAGTGAATATTTAGGGCTGCATTGTATTTTAATAACAAATAAGAAATAAAATATAATTAATTTGTTTAAAAAATACAAATAAATACTTACGGGTGTGAAAAATAGACAATGGCCATTTTATACATAGATATATAGACTAATTTTTACAAAATATCTAACAATTGTTCGACGTAGTCCAACAATTTAAAGTAAACAATTTTTATAACTCTATTACAATGTAGAGAATTAGAGGAAGTGCAAAATAGACAGCCATTAAAGAGAAAGTTCAAAAAATATATAGGTTCTTAGCTCTTTTGTGATTTAACCCAATAATTACTGGTATTTTTCAACATTTTTTTAATAATTACTATAGAGTAAGTAAAATAGCGTTACACAAATATGTCATGTATTATTTGTTAGAAGATTCTAATATGACCGCCTTTAATAGTAAATTAAATTGATTGAGCTCAAGGTAGAGAATTTTTTAATTCAATCAATAAGAAATTATATTTGGAACAAAATTTGTCAAATTAAATGAAATACACTTTTGAAATATTTTAGCAAATCATAAACAATTAAATACAAATTAGTTGAAAAATAATGCTAATTTATAGATTTGTTATAGATGACATATATGAATATATGAATATCAAAAAGCACATGTATATTACAAACATATATTATCTAATCATGTTTAAACAAATTTATGATATTGAATTATTTTTGTATTTATCATCGTCAAATATAAAAATATGTCAAGAGCATCACACTAATAGGATTTACAAAAATATTTCAATACGTATTTGTAGAGTAAATATATGTCTTCTTGCATATCAAGTATTTAAGAAAATAGTTCATAGTAATATTATGACAGCCGTCAACATTAATTAGATGACTATTAAGGAACATTTAACTCTTATTGAATAGCAAATAAATAGGCCGCATCATATAAAGGATATATAATAGATTCAGAAAACAAGTATATATTAAAAAATAGTTATGAGTTCCTCTCCGGATCAAATAAGACTACGGTATATTTTCACACATGATTTCGCCTCAATAAGGTAAAAATGTCAAACTTAACTCGTATGACAAATACACAAATAAAGCATGATTGAAATAATTTTAATGAATAGTACTCACATTATAGTTATTTTATTAAGTAAACACACGCAACACACAACTCACATAACACTGTATAAAATTATAGAAATTGTAAAAACTTGACACTTGTTTCACATAGTACTATAGCGGCGGCCATTTTGGCTCATTCTGAAGCATGATTTACCAACAACAGTGGTTTAGTGTTGGCAATACGAAGCGCAATGTCGAACAACTGCAGGTGGGGTTACCTGATAGTATCGAAAATAATCGAAAAATCGAATTAAGTTAAAATACTTCTTTTGCAATTAAATATATTTATACAGGGCACTGAAAACTTAAAATTATTCGAGATCTTAACAAACATAGTAAAAATATATTGGAATAATAAAAATAAAACGTTTTTTTCATAATAAGTTTAGGGACGTCCATTATTAATCACGTGAGGTTTTTAGGGGGAGGGGGGTTTAACAAAAATCACGAAATATCACGTGGGGGAGGAAGGGTTATAGTAAGATATCACGTGTATTTATTTTTCACCTGATTTGTTTTAAAAATCCAAATATTTTCAAGAAAAATCAGAACATTTTACATTTTACAATAAGTAAAAATACGCGTAACGTTTGGTGGTGGCAGAGGGGGGTAATATTACCAAGGGAGGGGGGTCCAAAAATCCTTAAAAAATCGATCATAAACGCCCCCTTAATCGATCCCTTATTAAAAGACACCATTTTCATGAATTTTAGGTCATTTTTTAATCATTGTAAAAAAGGCAAAAATTTTTTTTTATTTTAATTTATTTATAAGCGTTATAAGAGTACAGAGAAAAAGTAAGAAAAGTTGATAATTTTAAAAATAAGCAGTTGTTAAAGTAAGGGTCTCAAAAAATAGACATGTGACCATGACCACGATTGCAACTCTCCTAGTAATTCCAAATGAAAGAAAAGATTATTAATCTGGAAATAATCAGGTAATTTTTTGGGAAATGGGAATGTTTTAAAAAAATACCCCTTCTCTTACAACTTTTTTGAGTTTTTCGATTTTTTGAAAATACTAAAAAATGAAATGAAGCTAGCTAATATATATTAGTATTTTGCTCGAGAGAAGTCTATAAACAAGATTGTCAGAAAATTTCTAGTTAATCGGTCCAGTAGAACTCAAAAAATCGTGAGCATCGTATTGAAAAAAAAAACAGTTTTGAGAAAAACGCCTTTAAAATTTTGCAAGAGGAAGGAAACAAAAGACGATTATCATGGTCAAACAGCTGTTTTTCCGAAAATAATTTAAATTTTCAAAAATTCTCTAGTTCACATATTCTTAAATAGTAAAACTTCCTTTAAGGTATAATTAAAAACATAACAATGTATATGATCATTTTGGTCTGAATACCTGCGAACAAGCAATGATTTGTGTTACAACATTTTCTTAAAAAGCTCTAATTTTAATAATATTTATTAATAAAAAAATATTTGTCATATATTTTTAACATTAATTAATTTCTATTCTAATATTAACTTCATATATTATATATATATACATATGTTTTATTGTAGACTCTACATTTTGAACTATTTGTGTTTATATATTGTGCACTTTAATACCTGTTTGCGTTTTAAATTTCTTTATTAAATATATGCGTTGATGTACTTGGTCCCTTCTTTTACTATTTATCATAAAATTAGTATTTATAATAAAAGATTTAGTATTATTTTATTAAACATTATTTTAGTTTAATTATGTACTATTTTATTTATTGTGTTATCGAAATTGAAAATTAGGAGTCATTTCTAGTGCAAATGTTTACTAAATAATGAATATGTTGATTATAGGTACTGTGTTTTCATCGATATAGTAAAAATATTAGTGCTATTTACGTATGTTGATCAGTATTAATTTAAAAGCTCAGAATATTTTTATTAATCCATTATTATGTTGATAATATTCTAAAGGACGAATATCTATATTATATATAAAATATATTATTGTGATCACATTTCTCTATGTACTGTGACGTTGCATTCAAAAGAAATATTGCCCTGACCTTTTAATTGTTTTTCGGCAAAATTTGATTTAATTACAGTGCCAATTGGTTCAATGTCGATTTGGTTTTTCTTAGGAGCCCTGCGTGAACCATGTCGCAGGAGTTGTGAAGCTCCAGAATTTTCAGGTAAAGCCTAAAATAAAATATTCAATATTCAATTTTGACAATGAAAACAAGGCAAAAAACACGTGATTAATTATTGATTAGTTAGTCGATTAGATGGTGCTATGTCCTTAACTGTTAAGCCAACGCTAGCTCAAAAAGCAGAACATGTAGTTTGCTATGAGAAATATGGAGTTAACATGTAGTTTATAAATTTACGAAAATTATTTAGAACATGCTATAAGAAAGATGAATATTAAATCGAAGCTGAAGCCTACCTACATCATTGAAGTATATAGTAACCTTAATGATGTAGGCAGACATCACACTTCCCAAATGCCTGAGAAAGTTCTTACAAAATAACACAAATTCATAAGACTCCAAATACCGTGAGGTGCAAAAGCAATTTACCTGTATAACTGCCTGAAGCAATTTGGGCGGGGCGTTCGGTTCTTCTGGGTTGCTGATGACAACTTCAGGTTCTGGTAAAATTCTTTCTTTTCTTTTTTCCTCTCTTTCACGAGCTGCATTTTTTCTCATTAATGATCGCGCTTTTTTCCTTAAAATTTCTTGAGCGTCTGGATATAATTCTAAGGCTGTGTTCAAATCATCCTTGTCCAGGACAAATAAATTAGAAAATCCACGCGATCTGCAGAAACCATTGGTAAATTTAAAATAGGAGATATAAATAATAAAAGATTTTCCGTTAATAATAATAGATTTTATACAAAGAGAAGAACAAGACTCGATTTGGTACATGCAAATTAATAATGGCGGTACAAGCAATTTATATTATTTGTTATTTTAGAGCAATCAGAATATATATTAGTAGCGTACCATACAAGATCAAATGTAAAATCAATAAGATGTAACAAGTATTTATAAAAATAAAATAAAATTTACTGTAAAAATACTTTTTTATTCACCTGACATCTGCTGTACGCCTATTTCCACCTTCTGTAGTATTGACTGCTAGCAGACTTATTTCTCCAAAGACTGATCCTTCATATAATGTAGCTAGGACCTCATTTCTGTTACCGATAACCTAGTAAATACAATAGACATGAAAGTCAGTTCCATAAAATTTGTATTGTTTCATAAAACTTAATGCAATATAGCAATTTTGTGAATTAATATAGAGTAAAGCTATAAGACTACTTCTAATTGGTACTTACATGCAGGTCTACTCATTAATATATTACCTAAACTATGTTACAATACGATACTAAATGATATCGGTGATATGTTGCGAAGGAATCAACACGGGCATATTGCTAAATTAGTATTTACTAGTACTACAAATAGTAATTCAGCAATAAATCCGTATTTATTCAATTAGTGATCGCCGTCGTGATGTTCAAAAGCTTTCATAATAACGTATTTTAGGAAAGATATATTTCCATACAAGCTGTCTCAATTCTAAATGTAAGACAAAATTTAATATATGAATTAATTATATTACAGTTTTGCAACTGTAGCTTAAATTAACTACAAACTGTTTAGAATGATTAAATGATTTTACTATTACTTGCTAAACTCTAAATAAGTATCTACATAAGCTTTCTATTAGCTTCTATTAGCTTAGATGAAGCTCTATTAATTAACTTGCTAATTCTAAAAGGCAAACACAATGCAGTTATGTTAATTTAAACTACTGATGTATTATGTGAATTTATTACTAAATAAATCAAGTACACTTTTTTCAAGGTGTGCTATTTCCTCAAATATTTTTATATTGCAAAAAATTTTTACTATAAAATTTATTTCATTCTAAAATTAACTGAAGTGTATGACTAACGCTTAATTACTATATTTTTTGAATACAAATACAAAAAGACATTACTTAAGCCAAGTGTACTTGATTTAAAATTATGGTGCAAAATGGTTCAATTTACTGATGCGTTAAGTGCACAGCATGAGTTCAATTTAGTGATTTAGCTGTACATCTGTTAGTTACATAATTATTTGGTGAATATTTATCTATACATTAAAAATGATAACTACTGTTTTAAATTACAACAAATATCTACAAATTTATCTTTCTCACAAAAATGCTTTTACCAGACTTGTGCAATCTAGCATTAAACATAAGGATGGTAACCTGTACTTGTCCAGTTTTGACTATATACATTTCTCTTCCAACTTCTCCTTTCCGACAAACATAATCTCCTGGTAGATATATCACAGATCTTAATTTTAATACTAGCGCTCTCAAGAGTGCTTCATCACAATCCGCAAATAAACGCACTTTTGCTAAAGTCTGTATATGTACATTTATTGCTATATCCATTTTTAAATTAATAGGCAACGAATCCAATATTAAACTCTCGTCTGCAATGAATTGATTAGTAAATTATGTAATTAAATTAAATATAATGGTGATAAAATTAAGTTTACTGAGTGTGTGTTGAGTTTCCCAAGTGTATGTGAACCATGTTTTTACGCGTTTTTGTAGATTTTGAGGCACATTTAGTCGTCGCATATACTCTAATGTTTCATCTAGAAGTTTACGGTAATCAGACTGAAAATAGAGAATGAAATAGATTTATAATATATAATATTGTATATTATAATAATATATAGTCACATTTATCAGACTTCTCATTTATTGACGTGGCTATTGAACTGGTCTATCTCTTTTTGTCTTTTTGATACATTTTTTATTAGAATAACTTTTTATTTAGAATTTTTTATTAGAAATACTGGATGTAGCAATGCCAGTGAAAACTATTTTTTAATGAGAAACATATTTTCAAGTGAAAGCCGATGTCACTACTGCTTTTCATCAGACTGCTGATCAATCCTAGGATTGGATTAGTGGTTAGAGCTATAGATTTTTAATCAAAAGCTCTAACCACTAAACCACGGGCAAGTTAATGCAATATTTGAAATGAAATGTATGAGTTTTTAGTGGTCTATGTAATCATATTAAATTGAATAGTGATTTTGAGGGGCCAATTCTGTGGTAAAAAAAATCATTGTTATGACAACGCTATGTTATTCTTCTTTCTTGGTACCAAAAACTGTGAAAATGTCTATCTATCTATGAGTTCAACTCGTTAGCAATATCATTAATGGTAATTATCAAAAGATGGTAAAAATTGATTTTAAAGCTGATAAAGTCTCTTACAAAAAAGCCAGAATGTCTATCTATCTGCGCTTTCAGGTGATTCACACATAAAACTCTATGTTATTAATGCGTATCACAAAGTTGCAGTTATGATAACATTATTAACTTCCCGTAGGGTAAGTTATAGTAAATGCACAAAAATCAAAAATGAAAATTTGTATATATCTTTACGTTTCAGAAGTTTCTGAACATTTTGGCATACCTTAGAAAAAATTGATGTATGTGTGTGTGTTTGCGGATACAAATTTTTGTCGACAATTTCGCGAACACTGATCAACCGATTTGAATAATTAAAAAAACAATCGATTTGTATTGATAAGGAGACATGCTGATTAGTTTTTGGTAAAGGCAGGTTCAGCCGTTTTGGAGATACGGGGCAAAAAGTACCAAAAATGGTCACTATGTTTTTAAGAGAACGGAGCATCCGATTTTAATAAATCAAAAAACTTTTTTTTTGTTGATAAGATGAACTGATTGAATTTTTGGGAAGCAGGTCTAGTGGTTTCGGAGATCAATATAAAATAGTAAAGAAAAATGGCGGTCAAAAATGATCATTGAACATATGCACATCAAATTATCAGATATTTTATGGAGACTTTAATAATGTGTATCAATTTTGTTTACATTTTTATGGGTTCAGTAACATTGTCTGTCAGTTAGACGGCGACGCGGCGCTTACGCGCTTTGATATTTCGGCTCTATGAGGCTTTAAAAAATGTTCAAAATTTCCAAAATATTTCAAAATAAAAAAAAATCAAAAGCTTTTTTTTCGAAAAGAGTAATTATTTCCCAGAAATTTAATATTTCTCAAAAATCTAATTTTTTCAAAGTTTTAAAAAAGAATCTCTTTCTTAAAAAATTAATTTTTGGTACGGGAAGTTCCAGCAATTTGCCTTAAGGCGCGATGCCATACACCACTCGTTTTTTTGGCATTTGTGCGACAACGCTACGTTATGGTCTATTTTACCTATGGCACCATTATTATATTACAATTTCAATTACTAAACTCACTTGCATCCTTGTCGCAGTCGCAATAATATCCCTGATCTGTCCTATCAGCAAGGCAAAAACAAAGACGCCCATCAACCATGCAACGGTCATAAACACGTACTCGCTGTCGTTGTCCGGCTTCGGATTCTTGCCAATCGAGGTTGCCGTCTTGGTGGCGAACGCAAAACACCTGACGTACGGGTGACCTTTTCCACTGAACACCCAGCGGTTAGAGCCGATGCCTTCGTAGGCACTATAGGCGTAGTATGCACAGGCGTTCAGGTGGATCATGTACAACATGTAGGTAAGAGTTCGGACGACACGCACCTAGATGGAACACAAATTAATTACAGTAAAACCTCGTTAAGACGATTTTGTAGAAAACAGACCAAAATCGCGTCTTATGCGAAATATGGACAATATGTTGGAAAGTGCAGAGACTGGAGAAAAGTGGCGTATTATGCGAGTAAATATGTCAAACAAAATTGTCTTAACGGGGTTCTACTTTAATAAGTACTACAAAACATATATGAAATTGTAGAGAAATAAATGCAATACTATTCATTCAGGAATTTGCTCATATTCTTAAATCATAATTTTACAAAATTCAGACTAAAAATTTATAAATTATCAATTTATGATTTCAACTCATCATAAATATCATTAATGGTAATCATCAAAATAAGGTAAAAAAATTGATTTACTGATAAAAGCTCTTATAAAAAAGCCAGCATAATTGAAAAAAATACTTGATATCACACTGATTTTAGGCTACCATGCTTATCATTAAGGGTAATCATCAATAGATGGTAAAAAATTGATTTACTGATAAAATCTCTTACAAAAAAGCATAATTCAAGAAATCACTTTACACACATCACACTGGTAATAGTCCACAATAATTAAACATATATGAAGTTTTAAAAAAATAAATGCAATACTGTTCTTTCAGAAATTTGCTCTTACTTAGAACATAATTTTACGTAACTCGGACAACGTAATTTGACAAGAAATCACTTTACACACATCACACTGGTAATAGTCTACAATAATTAAACATATATGAAGTTTTAAAAAAATAAACGCAATACTGTTCTTTCAGAAATTTGCTCTTACTTAGAACGTAATTTTACGTAACTCGGAAATTTAATTTATAAGTAATCAGTTTATGAGTTTAACTCATTATCAATGTCATTAATGGTAATCATCAAAATATGGTAAAAAATTGATTTACTAAAGCTGTTAAAGTCTCTTAAATAAAAGCCAGCATAATTTGAAAAATCACTGGATATTACACTGGTATTAGTCCAAAATGATTAAACATATATGAAGTTTTAAAAAAATAAATGCAATACTGTTCTTTCAGGAATTTGTCCATACTTAGATCATAATTTTACGAAATTCGGACTAAATTTAATTTATAAATGACAAGTTTATGACTAACTCATTATCAATATCATGTTAATCATCAAAAGATGGCAAAAAAAATGATTTACTGATAAAATCTCTTACATAAAGCTAGCATAATTCAAAAAATCACTGGATTTTACACTGGTATTAGTCCAAAATGATTAAACATATATGAAGTTTTAAAAAAATAAATGCAATACTGTTCTTTCAGGAATTTGTCCATACTTAGATCATAATTTTACGAAATTCGGACTAAATTTAATTTATAAATGACAAGTTTATGACTAACTCATTATCAATATCATGTTAATCATCAAAAGATGGCAAAAAAATGATTTACTGATAAAATCTCTTACATAAAGCTAGCATAATTCAAAAAATCACTGGATATTACACTGGTATTAGTCCAAAATGATTAAACATATATGAAGTTTTAAAAAAATAAATGCAATACTGTTCTTTCAGGAATTTGTCCATACTTAGATCATAATTTTACGAAATTCGGACTAAATTTAATTTATAAATGACAAGTTTATGACTAACTCATTATAAATATCATGTTAATAATCAAAAGATGGCAAAAAAATGATTTACTGATAAAATCTCTTACATAAAGCTAGCATAATTCAAAAAATCACTTGATATTACACTGGTATTAATCCACAATGATTAAACATATATGAAGTTTTAAAAAAATAAATGCAATACTGTTCTTGCAGGAATTTGCCCATACTTAGATCATAATTCTACGAAATTCAGACAAAATTAATTTATAAATGATCAGTTTATGAGTTTAACTCATTATCAATGTCATTAATAGTAATCGTCAAAAAATGGTAAAAATTGATTTACTGTTAAAGTCTCTTACATAAAAGCATAATTAAAAAAATCACTTGATATTACACTGGTATTAGGCCACAATGATTAAACATATATGAAGTTCTAAAAAAATAAATGCAAAACTGTTCTTTCGGGATTTTGCCCATACTTAGATCATAATTTTACGAAATTCAGACTAAATTTAATTTATAAATTAGTTTATGAGTTCAACCCATTATCAATACGATGATTAGTAATCACAAAAATATGGTAAAAATTGATTTACTGATAAAGTCTCTTACATAAAAACCAGCCTAATTTAAAAATCACTTGATATCACACTGGTATTAGGCCACCATGATTATATAACATGATTGTTTTATTATTTTTAACATGATATAACGCAAATATAAATATTGTTACAAAAGATTATTATTTAACTTTTATAAAGTATTATAAAAATTTTCTATTACATCTACTTACAAAATGTGGCGATGCTAGAACCCTGTCCAATAATCTGTAAAACTCCCAAAATGTTTGCAGCTTCAACAGTCGAGGAAATCGCAAGATCACAGCTCCAGTTCCATAGTAAAAGTATAATAAATCCAAAGGCAGTATAGATAATACGTCCAACTACAAAATTAATAAAATTTAAACTAATATTTAAAAGTTATTATTGATATTTGTAAAATATATACCTTAAATTGTATTTTTCTCATATAGTTTTTTCTCGTCAAAGAGATTTCTTCGACCCAAAATCCTTCGTACAAATATATAAGACGAGGTTTAAAGAAAACTACATCGATAAGGTATACTATATCAGAAAAATAATCGAATATGAACCATAAATGTCTATTTTCAGGTGTTTGGAAAGGAAAAGATGCTCGCAGTGGTACAACCCAAGCGTTGTAGACGTAGCATGTGGTCACTATGAAGAGCCATCCTATGTATACATATCCCTGAAAAATGAGAAAATGGGGTTAGAAATAATTAAATATAAATTATTTTATATTTTATCCTATTATTGCTTAAATTGTATACGATTACACAACATTGAATTTCATCTCAATTGATTATACTATATGTTAATATTATAATCATCATCCATCATCATCAATCAGCCACTTCCATAACAATTTTAAGAAATATAAATATTCTTTTATTAGAGATGTTAAGATAAGCAAGTACAAAATGAAAATTTTTCTATTTTTAAATAAGTGACCAGCTGTGAATTCAATCACTTAAGTAGAACAAATCCTTAATTAAATCGAAGATGAGCAATTCCAAAGTAATTTTCCCTTGAACGTTTGAATTTGCAAGTTAACTGCACACTTTGCTCGTCGCATAGAAATTCATATGAGGATTGGATAATAGTTTTCGGATTTTCAATCTACTTTAATCGATCCTGGAATTTTTCATCAATTTCCCACTCTATTTTACAGGCTTGGTATAAAGCGCAAATATTTGTCGATTACAATAGTAATCGGTAGAAAAAAATCTAATCATTTGTAAATTTGAATTTGTGGCTGTTACTAAATTACATTCGAGTAAAACATCGTAACATAATTTAATGAAATATTAAATCTTTTAGATATATAATTTGTTGATATTCTTTTTAAAGTTATACATATTTTAGCACATTATTATATATAAAATGTACTGCTCCTAAAGTAGAAAATAAGACAAAATTGTATTTGATATAATGATCGGTTTGCATCTAAAGAAAACTTAGAAAACGGGTATGAATTTAAAAATTAATATATGTTGGATATAGAAGTTTTAAGTTGATTCACTGTCCTTTTATCCAATCAGTATTAAAAAAAATAAAACACCTATCTGATAATTGATTATGCACTAACTCAAACCGTTTTCGGCTTATATTATTCATATTGATCGATGACAATGTGATTTCTCAATTAATTGCAGTTAGCATTGTAGTTTTTTTAACGTTAATGAATAAGATATAAATCGAGCTTATAATTATATTTAGAAAATTGAAAATTTAATCTACCTCCTACCTGTGGATCTAACGCCTTATTTGGTTTCAAGCTATCCATAATCGCTTTGCAATCTGGCCTCTTAATAGGTGTTTCAGGTTGTACCAGTGGCACCTGCACCTTCGGAACCTGCTTCTCCGGGCTGGGTGCATGACTGGACGAGCTTGGACTTGACGGGCTGGATGGAGTTGGTGGAACATCATCGAGATGTTTCCGCATTCGATGTGCCCTCTCAGTAAAACGGCGGATTAAATGCCGAACTCGGTGTTGTATGAATTCATGGCTGCCGGTTTCACTAGGATCATCATCACGACTGATAATTGATACAGATGTATAAGTTGGTATTTACTCATAATTATATTAATTGATACTTGATACTTTATTTCATACCGACTTAAAATAGTTGACCAGATGAAAATTGTAAGCTATTCACCATAAAAGTAGAACGAATGGTATCTATTTAAAGTGTTCAAATATGAAAAATGCAATGCACAAAATAGTTTGATTGCAATTATACAAAGTTATATAACAAATGCATTGTTAGAATTGCATTCTCCGATTAATTTCAAAATACAGTAATTTGCAATATGCAATTATACCCCGAAATTATACATTCACTATACTCATATAGATTTTGCAATCGATTCCGTATTGGCAAAGATGTCTCAAAATATGCATTGTTCAGAAATATTAATTTTTATTTTTTATAGAATAATTTTTATATGTTTTTACCAAATGTAAAATACAACAATTGATATTTTTTTCTTTTGACATTTCTTTTAAATAAATATACCTCTCTAAGCTTCTCACAATTCTCTCCGGAGTGCTTTTAGCTCTTGGTAAAGTCGAAGCATTTTTTATCGGATTATCCATTTCTTCAACAATTTGGCTTACGTTGTCATGTGTATCACCATGGTCTTCACTGCTGTCGCTGATATAATTCTGCCTTTTAGGCAAATTGCTGTTATCTTCTAGAAGATTCATTTTGGATTCACTTTGTATTATGCGATTTTCAAGTCGTTTTGTATATTTCTTATGTGACCACGAATTTTGATGGTCTTCTGTCGTCGACAAAATTTGCAAGTCGGGTGTCTCATACTGTTCGCGTTTGATTAAACTTGCAACCTATTTAGGGTTTTTATTTAATAGCAACAAATATAAACGATAATCAAAAAATACTCTGCTCTGTGGTATTAATCTAGAATTAATAACCAGTATGTGCAAAAAATGTGCTTTGCATCAATTGTAGTGCAGTGCATGTTAAGCAATAACTTGTAGTCAAAACGTTCTAACAAGCACAATTTTAGCAAAAATATAAATAATATATTTCTTCAGAATAATGCTAATTGTTCGTAAAAAATATAAGAAAATACTGCGTTAAAAAAGGTTTAATAAATGTTATTCCTAAAATATTTATAACTTCAGAACGTGTACTCAACTACAACAGCAAAACTCAAGAAATTTAAAAAACACAGTAATAGTTATTTTTCATATAAAAACTTTTAATTAATTAACATCACCATCACACAAAAAATATTTCAAAACTAAAATTTTATTCTCAAAGCAGTTGCTATTGCTAATTCAAAAACTACTCACAATTATCAATAGCTGTTCAAGCCCAAACTCTGTAAGTAAAAATACCACAAATACTGAATAAGTTTGCTTTAGGAAGAAATGAGTTATTATCTCACGTGCTTATTCAATTCAATTCATATCGATAATAAATGTACTTAGAATATTTAATAAACACAATAGAAATAACCGCAAATTTGTACCTTATGTAATATGGAGATGGGTTTACCCAACCAATGTTAGTGCTTTAGTTTACTATGTTTAACAATTTTTGTTTATTAATAATAGAGTACTTGTAGCACACTTTAAAATAATTTTTGAACTTGTGAATATATGCTTCTCAAATCAAGCACTACTTTTAATTCAATTTGCAGACAGGTTTCATTAACCTTGGTAATAGCAATGCAATTGAAAATTAATGTTGCATTGTCTGCAATTGTAGTGTAGCATAATTAATTATTGACGCAATGTTAATGATACTGCTATAAAATTAATATAGTATATTAAATATATATATATATAAAAATAAAAAATATACATTTATTGTGATTTAAACTAATCTGAATTTATTTCTAACTTACCTTTTCACATTTTTCTTCAAAAATACTTGCACTAAGAATTCCTTTGCAGTAAACAAATTGATCACTTAAGTTGTACGCAAAATAGCGCAATATGGTATCCATAATTATATGGAAATCGTAACATATCAATTGTTATTCATTACAAGTTATTTTAAATCTTTATATCTCTATATTTTGATAACATTATAATATTTATTTAATTACCACAATTGTCTGTAATTCCGAAATAAAAATCTAGCGTGCTTTTTGACAGTGGAAGCGAATCTACAAGTGTATTTTCTCGATTTAATGAAACAAAGTGATTTGGTGGGCATGCGCGCATGTTAGTAAACAATGTCGCAACCATCGAAAAAGTTATTTTCTGAAAGAAATCAATATTTCCAATTAAAGATATTTTATCGTTGGCTTCCATTACAAAATTAACTTCATGGGACAATAAGATGCAAATTGTGAATACAATAATTGGTAATAAAGATCGAATGTCGACATACATCATCACGACTTACAAAAGTCTTATGAGAATATTTGTAAAGGAGGAATTAATACTTTAAGTACATATGTTCACATAGAAATAATTAACATTTTAAACATGTGCTTATTAAAATTCTATAAATTTTTGTATTGATCCTGGGATATTAATGCAAAAATATCACAAACAAATAGCAAATAATTTTTACGAAGGGGCATCTTAAACTACTCCAAAGGAGATGACTTATTATTAGTAAAATGTGGGGTGGTTAAATTTCAGACAAAAATAATTTACTCTCTATAGCCAAATTTTATCAAAATTCTTACAATTTTGTTTCAAAAAATATCAAATTTTTATTTTGTGTATCAATAGATGTAGTTCTATAAAATTCCAGCTTTGTACTGCAAAATGCAGAAGTAAAAATTTTGTCCAAAATCTACCTATAAATAATTCATTTGAAATATTAGTATCAACATTCACAGAAATTCAATGAAATTATTATATTATAACAGTAAAACCCCATTAAGACAATCATCCAAAAAACGGACAAAAACGCCTCTTACGATGGAAAGCGTATTATGCGAGATTGTCACAATATGTTTCAAAGTGCAAACACCAGCATATTATTCTGTATAAGTCTTTCTAATCATGATTGTCTTAACGGTGATCTACTAATTATTTTTATTTATTATATTTATAGAATTACATTTTCCATTCAATATGTTTCAGAGATCGGCGAGAAATCACATTATGCATAATCGTCTTAATTAACCATGTTCTGCTGTAAACTGTAAAAATGCAGAAGCAAAAATTTCGTCTAAAATCTATCTATAAATAAT